ACCAAATGGACATTTCCTCAGTCACTACTTACTCGTATTAAGTTCCAGAAGCTAAGAAACTACCAATTAAATGAGATCGTATCATTGTCAGATGTGCCAAAGCTCTGTTTCTTAATTAAAGATTATCTATAACGGAACATTTTTTGTTAAATACATTCATTAATTAAAGATTTTATAACATTTTGGTGTAGTTTTCAATAAGAGGACAAAGTACAGGAATGGTTGGGGTGAGTGGTCGAGCTGTTTAAGTTATGACAGCTTACCAGCGGTCATAACTAATGTTATGACCGCGAAAGGGTAACAAAGTTCATAGTGACCAACTATGCCTTTGTTACCAGTTCTTGCTGCACCCCTCTTTTCTCTTTTTTGTTTTACCTTTATTGTTTTTTCCAAGCACCCTGCGCCCTCCTCTTCACTTTCTCTCTCCCTCCTCTATTTACCGGTCTTTACGACTCTTTCCCCACCCCACGTTTTCTCCTTGCATCAGCTGTTGCCTCTTCCTGCGGCTTGCTGCCAGCGGCCACTTTAAGACCGTGAGCCCAGTGCTCCAGGATAGGAAAGTGTTTCTTCCAGGTCACGGTGGCACTCAAACTGATTCTGCTGTTTTTTATTATTAATATAGAAACACTGACTGGCATGTATGGAGCTATCTTGAAGTATATGAAGGGTAGCAGAGTTTGTGTCGAGCGCGACTTGCGTAATATTAACTTCCTCATCTCTCAGGAGGGTTGGTTATACAGGGCAAGAGGGCTGTTAGCCAACACTATCAACCTTTCGATGGATTATGAGGACATCCTCAAGATGAGAATGGATAAAGTTATTGCAAATCTCTAGATTCCTCAGGATTGGGCGATTCGTCACCAGCAACCACATGCCACAGGTAAAGGCAGCTTAACCTGATCCTGGGATTGAGTGTCACACTGTCTGGTGCTGCTCATAATAATTGGTGTCATAACTAAACAAATCAAAATTAATATTGATGCTTTCTTGCTGTAAACGTATGCGATGCATCTATAAGACTTAAATACTTAAACAATATAGTTTTCTTCAACAAAAAGTCTAGTTCAACTTCGTTTTCTTTACATGATAGTTTAGCTGATGTCTGTATCATCATGATGAATTATATTTGAGTAAGATTGTGTAACACAGTTAATGAGGAGTTAATATGAAGAACGGGAATAAGAATGAGGGATTGGAGGAATAGCAAATATAGTTATTATCGTGCTTGGTGATAGTAAGGGTAACAGAGCGCTGTCTCCTCCAATTTGACTTTTACCGTTCGAGATTCAGATCAAGCCTGAAAACGACCCTAAAACGAAATCAGCAAAACCAACTCGTCTATCTTCTATTTACCCGCTAATCTTCGCTTCCTGCTCCGGCCACTAGTTTCCCCTTCCATCCCCCACTATTCCATTCTTACTCACTTTTATCCTTACAAACACCCCTTTCTCTTTCTTATTTCCTTATGTTCAACCCTTCTCGACCACCTTCCTCACTCTGTCGCCCCTTTTTCTCCTCCAGCAAAGTAATTTTCTTATATCATCACGCAAAGTTTATTGTCTCAATATCACCCAAAGTTTATTGTCTTAATAATAGAATCCACAAGGATATACATCTCAGAAGCAAAGTATTTCAGTATACCACCCACGATTCGATAATTATCTCATCATACATTTCGTATGAAATTATTTCAGTAATTATAGACAAAATTACTGATAAGTAATTGTGTATAATGTAAGCGTTGGGATAATTTATTTTTCTTAAAATGCTCCAGGTGTGCTGTAAGAGTGTTCATGTTTGCGGCAGGTATATGCTCCAGGTGTGCTCCTGGGGGCAGCAGGTATATGCTCCAGGTGTGCTCCTGGGGGTGGCAGGTATATGCTCCTGGTGGCAGCAGGTATATGCTCCAGATGTGCTCCTGGGGACGGCAGGTATATGCTCCAGGTGTGCTCCTGGGGACGGCAGGTAAAAAGAACCTTTAGTCGTGTGCTTCCTACACACGGGGGAAAAAAAATTACTGTGATCGCCGGCGCCTACAGGACGTTTGCGCATGTGTGGTACCTTTTGTTATTTGGATTATTTACGACCCCCCGAACACTTGTGAATTCGCCGGTGCCCTGAAATTCTCTCTCTCTCGCCCGCGGCCTGTACATGTTTTCTTAACTTTTCTCTGGGCAACGGAGCTTTTATTCTGGCCGGTGATCTTTTCTCGTCTGCCGCGTGCTCCCTTCATCCCTCTTGTAAATGTTTTCGGGTCGATTTCTTGCTGTTTGATGCAAACTTTCTTTGCTGGGGAGGGGGGACATCCGCACGAAGTTTTGAAGGATTTTCAGTCAAATTGCCCCGTTTCGTGGCCATTTTTCTGGGACGACCGTATGATAAACGATTTTTTCGGGAAGACCTCAGGCGTATGTGGGATGATTCAGGAGCGTTGTTGGTTTACAGGGATTTGTGGCATGTTTTGTTGATTTTCAGGAAGACTTTTAGCATGTTTAGTGACTTTCAGGAAGACGAGGTATGTTTCTCAAATTTTCAGGAGATCTTATGGCATTTTATTGCCTGACTATTTATTTAGCATCTTGGCATCTTTGTTTTTTAGATGGCGTAGTGATTTTCGTATTTTTTCAAGCATTTCGGTTAAATTTGAAGAACATTTCTAGCATTTGGATGACATGTGTTAGCATGTCCTCCTGTTGTATTATTCAAACTGAACCACTTCGTGTAATTTTCACGCGTTTCGTTTCTGTTTTATTTTTAGTTAGAAGGTTTAGTGGGTGTCCGCGATCTGTGCCAAGATTCATCAAGCATTTACATGTCAACTTACGAAACATATATCTCTCATCTACCATGGCGCCCTAGTTTATATTTATTAAGTATTTCACGAGTTTGGAAACGTTTTCACTCAAGGATATAATTGTTATAGAAAACTTCGTAGCTATTCTGAGCTCGTTACTGTTTAATAAATGCAAATTAGACCGTCATATTTTAGGAAAGAAATTGAGGCATCATAAATGGACGTCTTAATCCTTGATGAATCGTGGCTGTGTGCTTGTATTAGTCTCCATACCTGTGTTCCTTACTTGTTCTGGCTTCAGTGGTACAGTAATACGTGGTGCGGCCTGCAGGTCCCGAGGAAGACGCTTGCGGAGCCAGTGGGAGTCTACTTCAGGAGACGCTGGTGTTCTCCTCGCTGTCGTCAGTGATGGCTATACATTCACTCTTATGGGCGTTTTTCCCGTTGCTCCGGCTGCTTTGAATGTAAAATTGCCTCCAACATCTGCGGCTCTTCTACCTACTCTCACCTTTTAGCTCCTCCCTTTTTCGCCTCTCTTCTCTCTCCTCTCTCCACACTCTGGTCGTGATACGCTGGAGTAAGGCTCTCTTTCTTCATATGTTTAACAGATCTCTAACCCTGTCCATGGAGGACAAGAAAATGTATATATGCTGGTTAACATTGTAAATGTTAACCACGTCTGTGGTAGAAAAAACTAATTCTTACCACGCTCTGCTTCTCATTTACTATCTTCTATGTTTCTGCTAACACTACAGGGAGTGTCATGTATACTATATATGTTTCACAAGATTTGTTGTTTTCTCCAGCATGAGGTGCACGTAGGGAGGGGAATGTTGTTCATGCCACAGTGGTGCTGTTTGTGAGAGTACAGCCTTGACGCCAAGGTGAAATGTACCACTTACCTTGAACATGGCGCCTCAATCTGTATTTACTAAACCGTTTACGAGATCCGAAACGCTACGAGGTCGTCCTCAGTTCACTTTTGCTATTGTGTGGGACGACTTGGCAGCGCATCGGAGCTCTTGAACTGTTTAGTGAATGCTGTGTAAGCTTCAGTTTTGGAGATAAGAGGTACAGGTGACGTAAGTGGACACACAAGTGAATCCTGACCCCCATGGTCTTGATGAGCCAAGGCTGAAGGGTCACTAAAGTGACGCCAAGACCACACCAATATTCATACTAGGATAATTATATGCTAGAACCCTCAGCAAATTATACGTTCATCAGCTTATGTTATGAAATATAAGTTTAGACCGAATAACACGAACTGGGGCGTTAATGTATGTAAAACAGTTCAAGAGCTCCGATGCGCTGCCAAGTCGTTCTTAAGAACCACAATGAATCGCTCCATGTCTCAAGAACATCTACACATCTACCGTTAATTACAAACCAGCTTCCTGCCGCCCACTACACACACTTCATGAGGGGGATTTAAATTCATTAGTAATCTGACGAGTTAATGAATATCAATTCAATTAACAAAAACAAATTAACCTTCTTTATTTCTCTTTGTGGCTGTATTAAATGTTGGTTAAATGGAAATTGAGTTAACAGAATTGTAATTTGCATCAAAGGAGCGTCAAACAGATTTAATAAAGGCAAGGACGGGTGCCGTCAATAATGGCACTGGTGCCCGGGGGGACGGGGCAGGTTTATTGTTTTTAATTATTGTAAATGTTTTGCTAATCTTTACTTCTCATGCGCGTTCTTTCAGGAATCTGTCGATTTTTTTATCGAAGATGGACACTTTTGTTCCGTTCAATATTATACTTGCTCGAAGGGTGTTGAACAGCCGTGGACCTCTGATGTTCATACAGTGTTCTCTGATTGTAGCTATGGGCCGATCGCAATGAAATCACAGTGGCATGTCATTTTGAGAGCGCTTTGAGACGGGCCCAATAATTAAGGTGCTTTATCGTGACTATGCGTGCTGTATAGGTTCTCTGTATTCCCTCTTATTTCAGCCATCTCTCCTGCTCTGAAGGGGAAAGTGAGTATGGAGCAGTACTCGAGGTGGGACAGCACCAGTGATTTGAATAGTTTGAGTATTGCGATGGGATCCCGGGATCCCATCGCAATACTCGGCTGCCTGTCCCCCGACACAATGAGTTATTATTATTATGAATTATTATTAATTGTTCGTATGTTATATACATAGAAAATGGGTAGGTGTTTAGGCTCTGTTGGCAATTATTTGTATTTGCAGTGCGCGGGTGAAGCATTTATTGGTGTGCGATGCGAACAGAAGACACATGCGAGGCACTGTTCGAGACGAGTTCGAACGTCATCGGTTGCGAGTCGTGAGTAAAGTGTTTTTTCCTTCTTAAACAGGGTGTTCCGCGGCTGAATTACCAGCCTTTGTTGATGAGGTCTGGTGAGGGAGGACCAAATGAGGAAACGGATGCTTCGGATTGCTTTCGTTATGGACTCAAGGCCCATCAACCTCCGGAGGGTTATTATTAAGGGCTTACTGACCAACCAGCAAGTATACTTTACAGCCGGTTATAGTCCAGAACTAAAGTTAACTCCTAAGTTTTTATACAGCGAAAAGAAGGGTTACTGCTCGATGTATATATGTACGTCTTTTTGTGGGATGACTGTGTCCTCTTGACACAGTCTGAGGGGCTGTCCCACAGGACATCTGAGGGGCTGCCCACAGGACGCAGATTAGCGTTACGACGTCTAACAAGAATGAAGGGAATAAGTGAAGGCTATGAGTTTAAACACTACAGTTGGGACGACATAGTAATATGGAATATTACTATGTTGTTCCATGGTAATTTGGAGCCAGCGGGTGGTGATGGAGCCAGCGAGCGGTGTTGGAGCCAGCGGGCGGTGATGGAGCCAGCGAGCGGTGGTGGAGCCAGCGGGCGGTGATGGAGCCAGCGAGCGGTGTTGGAGCCAGCGGGCGGTGATGGAGCCAGCGGGCGGTGATGGAGCCAGCGGGCGGTGTTGGAGCCAGCGGGCGGTGGTGGAGCCAGCGGGAGGTGGTGGAGCCAGCGGGCGGTGGTGGAGCCAGCGGGCGGTGGTGGAGCCAGCGGGAGGTGGTGGAGCCAGCGGGCGGTGGTGGAGCCAGCGGGCGGTGATGGAGCCAGCGGGCGGTGGTGGAGCCAGCGGGCGGTGGTGGAGCCAGCGGGAGGTGGTGGAGCCAGCGGGCGGTGGTGGAGCCAGCGGGCGGTGTTGGAGCCAGCGGGCGGTGATGGAGCCAGCGGGCGGTGGTGGAGCCAGCGGGCGGTGGTGGAGCCAGCGGGCGGTGGTGGAGCCAGCGGGCGGTGGTGGAGCCAGCGGACGGTGGTGGAGCCAGCGGACGGTGGTGGGTGGCGATGCCAGTCGGCAGAAGTGGTAGTGAAGTGTGAGATCGTAATGGATGTAGGTATTAGTGGGAATATTGGAGTGGTAGTGAGGGGAAGGAGGAGGGATGAAGGAAGGGGAGTGGAGTGGGGGATGGGTTTTATCTGCAGGGGCTCACAGCCGTCGGCCAAATTTATGACTCGGAATGATCCAGACGGCTGAGAACAAATGTACCTCTTTCGTTCTTCCCGTTGTGGGTGTATGTTGTTATATTATCTGCTGTGTGAAGCTCCGATGCTCCGGTCCGCCATCGGGAGGTGGGCGAAGATGAAGCTGAGAGAGATATGGTGTACGGGCCACTTTTATTGCCGGAGAGATCATGATCTTTAATGGTGGAGAGATGGGATACGATCTTTATGGGGAAGAGATGTTGAGATGAGGTCTTTAATTGGGAAGAAATGGAAGGGATCCGCTCTCTAATTATTATTGTGGGGCTTTCAGCTAATCCGGTCTGCATTAGAGGTTCAGCGGAGAGATATAAGGGGGCATGTTCATTATGGTGGGGGGGGGGGAGTTAGCCCTGTCCCTGAGGTAGATAATGGGGGGAAATTGGAGATTTGGGAATGAATATACAGCAGGAGGCTCTATAGGGAATGAGAGATATGGGAAACAACAAGGGGGGATGTATGTAATGTATGCGAAGCGAAAACAAAAATAATAAAATAGAATAGTCAGGAAAGAGTGTAACAATAGAAGCTGGGGGTTAAAGCAAGAAACGGTTCTTATATATGTTCTTGTTTGTCATCTGCTTTGTTTATCCAGCGATGGTCTTGTCTTGTTCACTTGTAGGGACCTAATTTTGCTCGTTTATAAGTGGTGGAATCCCTACAAGCTTCGAAGCAGACCGACGTAGAAGACAGAAGAATGTAGACTTCAGCTTCTCAGAAGAAAGAAGACTCCACACTTCAAGAGGAAAGTAGTCCTCGCTTCGCCGGTCCTGACTCGGGACCCGTGCCTCCTAGCCTACGCCAGCCTGGTGTTTGGAAAGCCTCATTCACGCCGTGCAGCTGGGTTTAGCCCTGTCTCTGTCTCTCCAACTTGGACGTGTCCTCTCACCAGGCTATTCTTCAACTATACCCACTTCAAAGCTCACCCGAAGGGTATCTTGTCCTGTATTTATTTCCTTCGTTCACTTATTGGCTCGTCCTGCTCTTGAACCCCCTGGCTGCCGCCTCCTCGCCCCGGGCCAATAAACACGCGCTCATCCTGACCAAGAGGTCCATTTGCTGACCTTAGATGCTCTCGCGTATGAAAGGTAAACCCAATAAATGTTTTGCCTTCGTGGGAGGACTGTGTTATAGAAGGCGATCTGAACTTCGTAAGAACGTAATGGTGTTTATCTCAACGATTGAGCTATACTAATATAAAAGTCTTACAACCTGTCCTCACACTTATGCGCTGTAATTTGAACGCTCTTGACAACAGAGCCAAAATTTAAAGCATTGCCATACTGACGCAACCCTTGGGCTAATGACCGTCGGGCTCGATAGTTTTGGTGGGTTGCTTAGGTTTGTATGCTTCTGGTGCATACAAACAGTAACGGTAACAGAACAGTCTGTAAGGTAACAGTAACGTGATAAATACCAAAGGCATTTAAATCAGCAAAATCAGCAGATACATCCTCACTCCACAAGGAGATGGCAGAGCAGTCGCAAAAAACTATAGATTTTTCACGTTGATGTCACACATTATAAAGGTCTTTGAGAGAGTCGTTTGGCGGACGACCCATATTTTGATCAAGAAAACTGAACGGCATAACTCAGGTCAACACTGAGTTGGAGCAGGAAGACCATGGTTTTCGCAATTTACTACATCACGATGACAAAATCTGGAAAGCATTGAAAAAAAGATGGATGCACGGATTTGTCAGTCATTTGGTAAATATGGCCTTGGAGGGATATCGTATATAATGAGCTCTAAAGGACTAACAGCCAAAGCGGTAAACGATAAATATTAAATTTAATAACAACAGGTCACAGAGTAACTGTAAACTAAATGAAATTAAGATGGGACTTACTTAATTGCCTCAAGTGATATTCTGTTCACTTTTGATAAGTAAGCCCCAGCTGTGTACACTTGGTACACAGCTGGGGCTTACTTGGAACATAGTGGTACAAGTGACCAAGTGTCCCACTTGGTACAAGTGACAGCATGAACAATGCAGTGGGTTTCTTCCCATTAGGGGTGTTGTACATGCTGCTATGGCGGTATGTTCACTCACAGGAAGATTGATACTGCCAAAATAAACTCGCCCTTCCGGCAAAAATTACAGGCAGAGTCCTGCAGGAAAACTCTTAACACATCGCTATCAGCTGCCTGAAGGTACACGTTACCTGGTAGGCTGCAGGTCGCCCACCTTTAATGCAGAATCCACTAAGGTGTTTCCCCCTGAACCCATAGTTGGTCCACTAACTCCTGGAATTATAAAGTTCCTGCAGCTAAGGAATCGCCAACAAAATGGAATTACATTACATGCAGATGCAACAAAAGTGGTTTAAAATATCCTAAAGAGTGTTTAACTCTAATAAATATTATATCCCATGAAATAAATAATATATATAAATGATTAAAACAAAGTTTTCCTCCCCCCACAAAAAAAAATTAAGCTAGTGCACTTTTGAAGAACATAAACAGCTTATTTCCCATTCACTTCCGCTTCCCTTTCTTCTTGTTCCCCAGTTGCTATATTTATTTCTCTTCCTCTTGCTCCTCCTACTACTTTTCCACATCCTCCTCCTCCTTCCTGTCCTTGCACTTTTTCCTCTCCCTCTCAGTTAAGACAGGTGTTGTTGTCGCTGATCTCACCTGGGGGCAGTGGTGGCTGCGTGACACGCCTCCACACCTGTGCTGGAAATTAGTTCGTGATTTGTAAGGTAAGGTTAATGGTGCAGGTGTGAGGGATGATCGGTGCAGGTGTGGGGTTGGTGGGCTGTGTAGGTGTGGGGTTGGTGGGCTGTGCAGGTGTGGGGTTGGTGGGTTGTGCAGGTGTGGGGTTGGTGGGTTGTGCAGGTTTGGGGTTGGTGGGTTGTGCAGGTGTGGGGTTGGTGGGTTGTGCAGGTGTAGGGTTGGTGGGTTGTGCAGGTGTGGGGTTGGAGGGTTGTGCAAGGTGTGGGGTTGGTGGGTTGTGCAGGTGTGGGGTTGGTGGGCTGTGTAGGTGTGGGGTTGGTGGGTTGTCTTGGGGAAGAAGTTGCAGCTCTGACAAGCACAGTCCCTCGGAGGATTAGTGGTGAAAAGCTCTTACTCATGTTGTTATTTAAAACCAATTATACTTTGATCATCTAATCTGCAAGATGAACATTTTATAAGGATTGTTAAATTATATAAAATCCAGTAGTGTAAGCTCGCTATTTTAGCTCCGTTCCCTCCTCCCTCTCCCACACTCTCCCCTCCCTCTCCCACACTTTACACTCCGTCTTCCATACTATCCACTCCCTCTCCCCACTCTCCACTCACTCTTCCACACTGCCCCCTCATCCCAAATTGCTCTCTCATTATCCCATATAGTTCCCTAGGTCTCCCACAGAGTTTCCTCTCACTCTCCCACAGTGTACCCCTCACTCTCCTACAGTGCACCTCTCAATCTCCCACACACAGTGTACCCCTCACTCTCCCACACAGTGTCCGCTCTCTTCCGGTGCTCCGCCCTGATGTCTATTGTGTGGGCATAAAGCGGTAGCATATGTTGTGTTCGGGTGGAGGTGGAGTGTGTTGGGTGTATTGAGGCGTCCCTGGTGTGTGTGTGTGTGTGTGTGTGTGTGTGTGTGTGTGTGTGTGTGTGTGTGTGTGTTGTGTGAGTGTTGTGTGTGTGTGTGAGAGAGAGAGAGAGAGAGAGAGAGAGAGAGATATATATATATATATATATATATATATATATATATATATATATATATATATATATATATATATATATATATATATATATATATATATATATATATCAGTGGTACCA